TTTAATGTAAATAGTTTTTGTTTCCAATGAGGCAGTTTCTGGTACTCACACCACGAGCCGCACGTTTGCCACATGAGAGTAAAGCAGAGGGTGAGAGGAGTGAGAGGGAGGGGGGTCGCATTCACTTCTGGTTCCGGAGCTGATTGGACAGCCAGTCTAGTCCTTCATAGAGCCCGTCGCCGCTGGTGGCGCAGGTGGCCTGAATGTACCAGTTCCTGTGGCGTAGGGAGTGCAGCCCCAGCTTGTCTGTGATCTCGGCCGCATTCATGGCGTTGGGGAGGTCCTAAGGGAAGGAAGGGTTGGTGGGAAGGGATGTCCCTGGGACACAGAAAGGCACCCCACCAGCCTCCAGCAGCAACCCCTACCACCAGATGCCCTGGAGGAACCCACGCTGGCTCCTCACATTCCCCAGGCTGGCCCAGGCACCTACCTGCTTGTTGGCGAACACCAGGAGGACAGCATCCCGGAGCTCATCCTCAGCCAGCATCCTCATGAGCTCCTCACGGGCCTCATTCACGCGCTCTCTGTCATTGCTGTCCACCACGAAGATCAGGCCTGCAGAGCAGCCAGTGTTAACGGTCAAGGGAACACAGCCCCCCTGCTGCATCTATGGGCTGGCCGCCCTCTCTAGAAGCAGGAGGACCCATGGGACCAGGCCCCAGCCACTCACCTTGTGTGTTCTGGAAATAGTGGCGCCACAGAGGCCGGATCTTGTCCTGGCCACCCACGTCCCACACAGTGAAGCTGATATTCTTGTACTCCACGGTTTCCACATTGAAGCCTGCGGGCAGGATGCAGGGTGAGGCTCTGTACCTCGGCCCAGCCCACCCCAACCCACTCCCTGCTGGCCACTGCCTCACCTATGGTGGGAATGGTGGTCACGATCTCACCCAGCTTTAGCTTGTACAGGATCGTGGTCTTCCCCGCGGCATCCAGGCCTACCATGAGGATGCGCATTTCCTTTTTGCCAAAAAGGCCCTTGAAGAGGTTGGCGAAGATGTTCCCCATGCTTGTGGACAGGTGGAAGGACACTGGCCAGGGACACCTGGAGAGACAAGGTGCTCCATGTCTGGTTCTGTGCTGTCCAGCAGCAGCTGCTCAGAGTCCATTCACCCAGGGACGCACCACTGCCTCACCCCACCTCCTGGAAGCTTGCAGGGAAACAGGGAAAGAGCCCTGCCTCCCAAGCCTCAGAAATCCACCTGAGGATGGGTGCTGAGGGAAAATGGCTGAGTCAGGAATTGAGAAGCTGTTGCCCTGATCTTGGGAAGCCATCCCCAAGGCTGCATGGCCAGAAAGGCTGCCTCATCCAAGCCTATGCAGGAGGGGAGGCTGGCTACCTGAGGACTGGCTTCCAGGTGCATGCAAGGCTGCTCTACACCCCAACACAGAACCTTCCAGGACTAGAGAGCACCACTCACTGTGCCTCCCCACACTCAGAAGGATCAGAGCACAAAGGGCCAGGCAAGGCACAGGACACCCTCAGGGCAACAGTCCCACTGAGGACACAGCCTGGATGGGGCATGCATGCCATGTCTGCCCCACATGGCAATGATAGGGGTTCCCTCAGAACACAAACACCAGGGACAGCAATCACGTTGGTTGGCATCCACCATCACAGCTCTGCAGAGACTCCAGCAGGAAGGGCCTCCGCTGCCTGGATGCCTCTGTGAGGACACTGAAGCTGCTGGGCCTTGGCCTCACTGCCCAGTGGGCACTTTCATGAATCAGGTGTTTTTATGCCAAACAGAGACTTTAGAAAAAAAACTGGTCACTCTCTGAAACACTGGCTGGCTCTTCAGTGCACCCACAGGGGGCTTATCCCCAGTGAGGAAGGCTTCTGCCTTCCAGACAACATGCCAGGAGCCTGTGACCACACCCACCCCTCATCAGACCTCCTCCACCAGGGTTCCACATGCAGGAGGCTCTTGGCTGAATCACAGCCATGACTGTCTGCTGGTGACTTACTTTACCATCCACTCACCCCAGCACCCTACTGCAAGGTAACACCTCTTCTCCATTTCTCAACATCGGTGAGAGCCCACACATGCCTGTGTGGTTCAGTGGGTGTGAACTGGCCATCTATTTCTGATTTGACATTGCCATCATCCCAGATGACCCACAGAACCCCTTCAAGCTGGATTAGTGTCCTTTGGACACTTTGTTCTTGGTTTTGAACCATGTCGCCTATTCTGAAACTTAAAACGAATTCTGAAATTTCTAAGGACCTTCACTGTAGTGTGTTCCCTTTTCAGGGACAGCCAGGTTTTCTAAGCCCAGAAGAAGACCACCACCCATGAAGCACGGAAGAGACTGAAAACACGGCCTCTCAGTCCACTCCTGCAACCACTGCCACTGAAGACACCAAAATCACCCATAAGCCTTGAAGGACAGAGAGAAAAGGGAGGAAGACCTTGAGCCTGATGACTGACCAGGCAGACAAAGCTGGACCACCTGGGACCCAAGGGATGAAGCTGGGACTGTCTAGGGCAGGTAGGTCCAATCTTGGCTACCCTGGGCCACAATGAAATAATTGTCTTGGGTCACACACAAAAAATATACTAACATAACAGCTGATGAACTGAACCAAACCAAACCAAACAAAACCCCCAAAATCTCCATGTTTTAAGAAAGTTTACAAATTTGTGTGGGGTCAGATTCAAAGCTGTCCTGGGCCACATGCAGCCCAAGGGATGGACAGGCTTGGTCCAGGGGAGCAGCTGCACTGAGCCTGTGCTGAGTGCAGCTGCACTAGGCCTGTGCTAAGCCGTGACAACACATTTAAGCCATGAGATTCCAGAACAATTCCTGAGACTTCTATATGCGCCAGCAGATCCACACACAAGCAACTGGAGGCCCTCCAAAGAGACAGGGTTGTCTGCCTCTGAAAGGCCTCCAACATAAGAGACCCAAATGTAATGGAATCTAGAGGAGACAAGCAAGAGAGGAGACTGAAGGAAGAAGACTATTTTAACAAAGGAAAAGGAGAGAGAGATAGACCTGATAGATACACAAATAGCTGAAAAGGAAAATTCCAAATGAAGGTGCTCAGAAGGCAGAACAACAACAAAATAAGTAAAAAAGGAAAATAAGAAGTAACTTAAGATATCAACTAACAGAAACTCTAAAAAGAAAGAACATAGGAAATTACGGGGTGAAATTCTTCAGTGTTCCAGAGCAGGGGCCCAAGAATCTCTAGCCTGAAAGGGCCGAAGGGAAAAGCCAAGGACCTAAATGAGACCCACTGAAGGTGTACCATGGATTCCAGAATGCCCAGTGGCAAATGACACCCTCGAAGCCCCAGAAAATGGAAGACTCTGAAACAGTGCTTTCTAAACCCTGAGAACATGACCTTTAATTCTATACCCAGCCAAAGTATCCAACAAGTCTCAAGGGAGAATGAAGATAACTCTCAAACTGCAGGGCCTCAGACCTCTCACGTGCTCCCTCCCCAAGAGGCTCCCCCAGGAATCCAGAGGGAGGATGTGAGCTCACAGCAACGTGGAGAGAGAGCAGCAGTCTAGCCAACCCCCTCAGACTGGAGCAGGAAGTGGACCCCTGCAAGAATGGGACATGCCACCTACATATTATGGGGTTGGGCAACTCTGGGCAATGGGGAAAAACTAATGACAGGTTCGTAGGAAAAACCCAAACATGAAACAGAACGAAAACAGGGCCTTTTATGAGTTACTCCAGGAAAACATATGGTGGGCAATATTCAGGGAGTTCTGATGCTGTGTTATTACTGGGGTGCTGGAAAGCTGAGGGAAGGGCATGTGGTGTCAAAGCCCAAACCACACTGCACAAGTTAACAAGTCTAGAAGGAATAAATCTAGGAAACCATGTCAGCAGGGACTCAGGGTCACCTGCCAGTTGGGCAGGGGCAGCACCAGACTGCCATGGCCACTGAAGCATGGCATTGGGGAGAATTGACACCAACACCCAGGCACTTAGGGGAAGGAGCACCCCACTACCACCAGCCCCCTCGACCCCAGGACTGTTCATGATCCACACATGCCTGCTGCCAACCATGCACAGACGACCATGCAGCCTGCAGGCAGCAGGGCTTGTGATGACAGTAGTCCCAGCCCCACCACATGGTGACTTTTATTTTTTATTAACAGACCAAAGCGTTCGAGCCCCCAGAGGGAAGCAGCCCTGCAATGGAATGGCGGAACCAGAAAGGGCAAGCCCTAAGTCTCAGGTGTCAGACAACAGCACACAGCTTGGTCTCTCCCACCCACAAGCACATCTGTGGCCCTGCTGAACACATGGGCAGAGGGTGGCTGGCACATCCTGCCTCGGCATACACCAGCATCCCCACAGGACCCTGGACCTGGCAGCCCCTGCACCATTTACTGCTTCTGTGACAGGTCAAGACCCAACAGAGAATCTGCAGTGGGGGAAAGGTTCCAGAGCAACCCCCGCCCTCAATTCCAAGGCCCCTTGGAACAGGTCCTAACTTGTGTCATGCCCAGGCCAGTGCTGTCAACCTTTCCTCCACCAGAGTCCCCGAATACAAGCCAAAACCCGCTTTTCAGGTCCATTGGAATTATCCTGTGGTAAGGACAAACCCTGGCTTTCTCAGAGCCTTCCTGCTTGTACACGTGACCCCTTCACACTGTAAGAACAGGGCCACCCAGCAGGAGGACGCCAGGAGCCGCCAGTAGCTACTTCTCTTTCCTAACCATGCTGTGGGCTTCAACTTTGAGGAAGAAAGGTTTTTTTAGGAAGAATGTCTCTTTCTTCAGTGAGGACCAGAGACCAATGGTAAAAGTGGCCTTCAGGCATTACACCAGGAAACAGGACAGTCAACTCTGGCAGCTACAGTCCGACACCTACTGTGCCTACTGAACAGGGGTGGGGAGAAAATATAGCTCTGTGAGTTCACATCCATTTTGTGTCTATGAATGGATCCAACCAAACTGGTTCAGATGCACAGGGGAGCCAGTGCCTCTGTGGCCTGCACTCGGACCTCCAGCCAGTACTGTCCCCGGTCCCTTACAGGCCCCAGGGATGCTTTGACATTGAGTCAGGGAAAGGAACAAGGCAAAGGCTGATAATTTCCCCCCAACCTGTCAGAGTTGGTGTATATAACAGAATCTCTAAGTGACCTGAACTGACAGGAACCAACGGAAAGACAGACACCTCCAACCTCCAGGGCAAACAAGCTCCAGGTGGTCCCAGATTCTGTTTTGCTGACTGACGTCTACAAATAGGACTCATACAATGTGCTCTGCTTATGTGGAAAGCCAGTGACATCCAGAGTTCCCTTTTTGAGACAGGGCCTCACTGTCACCCAGGCTGGAATTCAGTGGTGTGATCACAGCCCACTGTAGCCTTGAGTTTCTGGGCTCAAGTGTTCCTCCCACCTCTGCCTCCCAAGTAGCAGGGACTGCAGGTGCATGCCACCACAGCTGGCTGATTTGTAATATTTTCTATAGACACAGGGTCTTGCTATCTTGCCCAGGCTGGTTTTGAACTCTTGGGCCCCAGTGATCCTCCTGCCCTGACCTCCACAGTAGTTGGGAATACGGGTGTGGGCCAATGCACCCCACCCAGTGTTCTTTTTAAAAAAGCTTTTATTGGCCGGGCGCGGTGGCTCAAGCCTGTAATCCCAGCACTTTGGGAGGCCGAGGCGGGTGGATCACGAGGTCAAGAGATCGAGACCATCCTGGTCAACACGGTGAAACCCCGTCTCTACTAAAAATACAAAAAAATTAGCTGGGCATGGTGGCGCGGGCCTGTAATCCCAGCTACTCAGGAGGCTGAGGCAGGAGAATTGCCTGAACCCAGGAGGCGGAGGTTGCGGTGAGCCGAGATCGCGCCATTGCACTCCAGCCTGGGTAACAAGAGCGAAACTCCGTCCCAAAAAAAAAAAAAAAAGAAAAGAAAAAAAAAAGCTTTTATTGCCGGGCGCGGTGGCTCATGCCTTTAATCACAGCACTTTGGGATGCTGAGGCGGGCAGATCATGAGGTTAGGAGTTCAAGACCAGCCTGACCAACATGGTGAAACTCCATCTCTACAAAATACAAAAATTACCC